AATAAGCTATTTATATAATTATCAGTAGTTACTCTATATTAAAGTCAAAATTTTACTAAGTAAATCGATCCACTTTATTAAATAAAAATTGTTTAGAAGATCAAAATACATATATTTTGAAGGGTTTTAGAATTTGGTATACTATGCACTATGGTACACCCTGATCATGGGGTATATAAACAGTGATCAAAGATGATAATCAATGCTTTTTTCTTTTCGCTTTGTATTTTGTTTTATATACTAGTTAACTAATTTTTTTTTTTTTAGATGCAGGTAATTTCGTCATTAGTGTCATCATTCTGATATTGTCATTCTGGTATCATTTTTCTGGCATTGTCATTCTGGTGCAGTTGTTCTGGTATCATCATTTGGTGGCTTCACAATACCCATTGTTGGAGTTTTAGATCTGGTGTCATTGATTAGGTTGGTTTTTCTTTAGGCTGTACAATTTCTTTATTTTTCATTTGTAAACGTATTCAACTAACGCTAACTAATACTTTTTCTTTCATGTAGGTTTTCTTTGAGGTGATTTTTTTTTTTCTGTAGCTAGTGATATTCTGTTTTTGTATAGTCACTTTGTACTAATAGTTTTTTTCAGATACTGTGTCTTATTAGTTTCATTGTATTGGCGTACCTCTTGCTGGTAGATTCAGTATCATTCCTCTGGTATCGTCGTTTTGGCATCCTTGTCCTAGTATCATCATCGTTTTGGTTTTTCACCTTGGTGTCATCGTTATGGTGTCTTGTTCTGGTGTCTTGTTTTGATGTTGCTATTCTGTTGTCATAGTTTTAGGTTCTGGTATCGTTGATTAGGTTGGTTTTTCTTCTAGGCTGTACTTCTTTTTCTTTCATTTGTGAATGCATTTAACTGACTCTAACTAACGCTCTTTGTTTTTGTATAGGTTTTTTCAAGGTAGGTGATTTCTTGTGATATTTCTGTTTTCATATGGTCTTATTAGCTTCGTCATATTAGCATGCCCTTCATCGTTGGTGGCTTCACAATACCCATTGCTGGTGGATTTGTTTTTAGTGTCTTTTCGCATTTGTTGTAGCATATGTTGCTAGTGGAATTGTCATTGTAGCTCTTTGTTGCTGGTTTTAGTTTTGTTATGCTGGCCGTATTGGATTATATATTTAGAGTTAGTTTTTCTATAGTATTATGGTCAGTGTTGCTTATAATAATTAGATAGTTAAGTTAGGGTTATGGTATATATATTAGATTGTTATACAATGATATTTTGAAAATGTTGGTTATGCAATGACATTTTGAAAATGTTTGTTATGCAATGATATTTTGAAAATATTTGTTACGCAATTTTTGGTAAAAAAAAAATTATTAAAAATAAAAAATATAAAATATAAAAAATTATTATTGAAAATATCTTACTTTGAGTCACGTGATCAGGGTGCACCACGATGCAGGTACACCAAATTCTAAAACCCTATTTTGAAAAGATTATATAAATTAGATAACTTTTTATTAATTGACTTTTGATTTTTACATTCGATGAATATAAATTTTAAAAAAATTTTAAAAAATTTATCAAATGTAATATACAAAAATATATTAATAAAATGTTATCTAATTTTAATAAAACTTTCAAAGTATATGTATTTTAATATTCTGAACAACTTTCACTTAATAATGTAGATTGATTTACTTAGTAAAATTTTGACTTTACTATAGAATAACTACTGATAATTATATAAATAACTTTATGTTTTTCTTCTAAAAAAAGAAAATAGTTTATTATTAAAGGTAGATTATTTG